CCTGAGGAGATGCTCCTCCAAGACTGCTCCTGCACATGCTTGAGTGCTTTGCTGAAGCAGAATCAAACTGTCTAGTGTCAATATTGGCTTGTTTTTGTTAAATTGACCATGTTGTGTTTTACTACATAGCTTGGGGTGGTGAGAGCAATCCATTAAACTTGAAGTTAATTAGTATGGGAAGACTGTAATTTATCAAGATTGCCTGAATGAAAATAAGGGCATTGCTATTTAATTAGCAAGTGCATTTGGATTTTTTAGATTATTTTTCCCTTTTTGATTTAATTCAAAATATTATAAGTACTATGCATATAATGAAAGAAGAGTAGATTAAGGACAGGAAACTGAAAGACATTAAAAATCTATGGCACAATATAGTTTTTTTGCTATTGAGTACGTGCTGTTGATCAGATAAGACAGCTTTTATTACTGTGGTCTGTTCTCATTTTGTATCTAAATTGTAGCTGAAAAGGTGCTTTAAATGACAGAGTCCTAATCTATATTACCAGGAAGGACTGAGCTTATAGAGCTATTAAACCAGAATGTGCCTGTTTGTTACTGCTTCTGTTTCCATGTTTCTGACACCTTCCACTAAAGCTATGGGGACCTCCAGGTGATTTCAAGAAACATTTGCACTCAACTGTATTTTATACTTTGCACTGCTTTCTTCTTAATTTTTCATAATTTAAGATAAGTCATTGTAGATTAAAACTTCACAGTTGCTCTCCTGTTTGGAGAATGATGCTTCCTTCATTGACAGGAATAGGCCCAGTCCCACCTGTTTCTAATCACACAGCACGTGTCCCACTGAATCACAGAATCACACAGAATGTTAGGAGTTGGAAGGGACCTCAAAAGATCATCCAGTCCAACCCCTGCCAGAGCAGGATCACCTAGACCAGGTCACACAGGAACGCGTCCAGGTGGGTTTTGAATGTCTCCAGAGAAGGAGACTCCACAACCTCTCTGGGCAGCCTGGGCCAGGGCTCTGTCACCCTCACAGTAAAAAAGTTTTTCCTCATGTTCACATGGAACCTGCTATGCTCCAGCTTATACCCATTGCCCCTTGTCCTATTGTTTGTCATCAGAGAGAAGAGCCTGGCTCTTTCCTCCTGACACTCGCCCTTTACAAATTTATAAAGGGACAGTGGCACAGGGTGTTGTTGTGTCAAGTGCATTGAATAAAGCACAGAAAGCTCTCTGCAGGAGCATCATTGCCTGTACAACGTGCTCAGTCTGTCCATCCATTGCCTTCCAGCAGGGCTCACCCCACACGGGGCCAGGGTTTCTGTGCGTGGTGATCGACACTGAGTCATTTCTCATGGATGCTTGGAGTGGTGCCTGAAACTATGGTACTTGTGAATAATATGCATCTTGTATTGAATCTGGTTGTGGATTTTGCTTACATGCCACAGCGAGGCGTGTATAAAAATATTCACTCAAAGTCCTACCAGTGGCTCATGCCTGCCATCGTGGAGGTGTGAATATAGTGGAAATATTCTTGTGCATTGGGAGACACCTGCTGTGCAGTCCACAAATCGCAGCTCCACGCTGCACGTACTGTGCCCAGGCTCCGTGTTGCGGCTGCGGTGGGTAGACATGATATCAAAGTTAGTGTCTGTAAAAGGCAACCTGAATGTAGTGCTTACCTTGCTCTGTGGACTATAAAAAGAACTGAGATTAGGTGGATGGTCTGCATGGTTCCTTGATCTTTTTAATCTTGAATTTTATGCAAGCATCTACACCTGCCTTTGCAGGAGCAAGCTCTGTATCTCTGTATGGCTCCCTTTTGCCTCTTACGAATAGTGATAATATCACTTCCTTGCCTCCCAGGAATTTTCTGAGTAAATGCATTAGAAATTTATTTGGCTGGGGTAGCTGTGGGACCAAAGGAGTCTTTCACTACTGCTCTAGTATAACCTGCTCTTACAGTTGTGTCAACTGTTGTGCAACTATGGTATTTTGTACAAAACCCACTGTACATTGTGACTGCTCTCCTCACGCACACTGGCAGTGAACGTACCCAGCTCTGAAAGATGAGACCCAAGAAGTTTCTGGAACTTCTGAGTTCCCCATATTGGTGGCTGCAAGTTAAAAATCCACATTTGTAGTGCTCAGTGAGCTGTCAAAGCTGAGATCTGCAGGATTTAAACAATTTTGTGACAGTGGCAGGGTAGCACTTCAGTTTCCACGGAAACTGGCACTGACTTTCCAAAATCAAGGTGAAGTGTTGGCTGATTATCTAATAATAATGCTGAACATTTAAATATGAAGTTCTTTACCTTCCTCTTGCTGAAACAAATTCCATTCCTACAGCATCCAGGAAATGCAATAGAGGTCTTGTGAATTCAAACTCTTGTCACAGCTTGAGCTGTGTAATCTACTTTGCAGAGATGAAAGACAGAATTCAGCCTTGACCTGTTCAGCCACTGAGCCTTATGCTCTGCTGTCAAGACAAAGGGCTAATTTGGGCCACATCTGCTGTACAAACTGGTACCATTGTTTATATGACAAATTACAGAATAACAGAAGTTCTTTTGCTTTAGCGTGCATTTTTATACTATGCCTTTCCAGAACATTTTTGTCTTTAAATGCATTTCCTTGGAAATAATTCTCATTGCATAAACTCTTTATCTGCTCACACTCTTGCTTATCACCTGAATTCAATCGCCCTTTGGCTTCACACTCACTGGACTCCTGTTTTGAATCAGTGAGTTTCATCGTTTTGCTGAACATTCTTTTTTCCAGGTCATTGATTTCTAAGGTTAACAAAACGAATCCTCCTGCTGATCCTTGTTACGTCCCGCTAATCTCCTTGCTATATCCTGAACC